TCTCTCTCTCTGCTACCTGTCTCTCTCTCTCTGCTACCTGTCTCTCTGTCCCACAGCTCTGACTCTGGATCTGATGACGGTCGCTGGTGTGCAGAAGTTGTTTCAGCGCAGAGGACCGTGGGACTTCCCGCCGGGGTTTTTGGACTACGTTGCCATGGATACGTATTCTTTCCCAGCAGCCCACGCCAGCCGAGCCGTCATGGTGTCCAAGTTCCTGTTGACCCACCTGGTGCTGGCGGTTGGTGTTTTTATCACGGTCATTGTCATCATTGCTGTTCAATGTAAACAACGGAGATCAGTGATTGGTCGATACGCATTCACAGCTCATTCATTATCTCATGTTTCACAATAAGAAAATACAATCAGTGTGTTTGAGACACAGTGATGTTGTTTAACGGACGTGTCGGCCAATCAGATGAGAGCTGGTTTCATCTTTAACAAATCGAACCTCTGACTTGATTTAACTGGATGACTCAGATCAGAGGACCAGGACCCTGGAACCCCCAGACTGGACTCCTTGTATTGACATAGTCTTCCTGTCCTCCAGGTGCCCCTCAGGATCCTGCTCTACCTGTGGGCCATCCTGGCGGGCATGTCCCGGGTGCTGCTGGGTAAACATCACCTGTCAGATGTCGGCTGCGGATTCGCTCTTGGCTTCCTGCACTTCAGTCTGGTGGAGTCCGTCTGGCTGCACTCTGACACCTGCCAGACCCTCATCTCCATCGGCACGCTGAGCTGGCCTCCACTGATCTGAACCTGGTCTGGACTCGTTCAGCTGGGAGTAGGACTGGTCTGGAGGCTCCCCTGTACTGACACACATGTTTAAAACTGGTCTGTCTGGACTTGATGCTCCATTGAAACGAGTTTGGACTTCATGTTGACGAACGCTGTGACAACAGGAAATGGACCCGCTTCAGATTGTGGTTCACAGAAACCACAGAGACAATCTGTGTGTGTGTGTCTCTCAGGTCTGACTTCCTGTTGTGAAAAACTAGGACGAGACTATTTAAATCAAAGCCCCTCCCCTCCCAGTTGACTGCCATTAAGCCCCTCCCCTCCCAGTGGTCTACCATTAAGCCCCACCCCTCCCAATTCAATTACATTTATTTTGTATTTTTACTTTTAGTTCATACTTCAGACCTTATAAAGTACATCATGTTTCATGCATACTACTTCCTCACAACATTACACCTTGACCATTGACCATTGTTGGTCAGAATGGAGACGCTGGCTTTGTCCTGCAGTAGAACATCCTGATACTTCTGGTAGAAACATGCTGTGTAGGGGCGGGGCTTCACCTCCATCAGAGTGAAACCACAGAAGAAGAAAAAGTTTAAATCTGTTGTTTAAATAAATAAAAATCTTTTCATCTGTCTGAACTGAATCTGTTTTTACTTTGAACTCATGAAACATTTCAAACATTTAGACATATGTTTGAAAACCGTTGGAGACAGGAAGTGAGACAACACGCTTAGATCTGGAAATTGAATATACACATATAATTATATTTTATTTAAATATGTATATATACATATACATATTTAGTATACTCTACTGTAGCCAACTGTGATTAAACGGTACTCTACTGTTTTCTGCTTTATTCTAATGTGATTCTACTGTACTCTACTGAACTCTACTATGATTCTACTGTACTCTACTGAATTTCACTGTGATTCTACTGAACTCTACTATGATTCTACTGTACTTACTGAACTCTACTGAACTTCACTGTGATTCTACTGAACTCTACTGAACTCTACTATGATTCTACTGTACTCTACTGAACTCTACTATGATTCTACTGAACTCTACTGAACTCTACTATGATTCCACTGTACTCTACTGAACTCTATGATTCTACTGAACTTTACTATGATTCTACTGTACTCTATTGAACTCTACTATGATTCTACTGTACTCTACTGAACTTTAATGTGACTACAATCACTGATGGATTGATCGATTGAAAAATCAAATAATAATCAAATAAAATACCCAGAGTTCAGAGCTCAGCTTCATTTATTAAAATAAGAGAAGAAGAAAACACAGCGTTGTTAGTTTTCCTCTCATTAATGCTTATGGTAAATATTCTGTTAAATTCACTGTATTCCCAGTGAGGAGTACACTTCTTCTTCTCCTTCTTCTTCTTCTTCTTCTCCTCTCCTGACTGACGGCAGGCTGCTGTAGGTTTTGGTCCAGTAGGAAACGTATTCTGATCTCAGGTCGTAGCTGAAGAACAAAACAGACAAAATGTTTTCAACACGTAAACTCAAACAGTAAAACCGTCTTCTACTCTTCACTGATCAAATACAATAGAATAGAATAGAATAAAAAAGAAGACTAGTCATCTGGTAGAGTAGAACAGAGCCACTTTAAAATACAGTAGAGTACAGTAGACTAAAGTAAAATACAGTAGAATCATAATGACCACGGTTGAGTATAGTAGAATCCCAGTAGTATAACAGAGAACACAGTAGAGTACAGTAGAGTACAGTAGAATCACATTAGAGTACAGTGGAGTACAGTTGAATCCAAATAGTATAATATAGACCACAGTAGAGTACAGTAGAGTCCCAGTAGTATAACATAGACCACAGTAGAGTACAGTAGAGAACAGTAGAATCCCAGTAGCATAACATAGACAACAGTAGAGTACAGTAGAGTACAGTAGAATCCCAGTAGTATAACATAGACCACAGCAGAGTACAGTAGAGTACAGTAGAATCCCAGTAGTATAACATAGACCACAGTAGAGTACAGTAGAGAACAGTAGAATCCCAGTAGAAACACAGTAGAAACCCAGTAGAGTTATAATAGACTACATTAGAGTACAGAGTTGTACCTGATGGAGGACTTGATGATCTTGTGGTTGATGGTCAGGTAGGGTTGGTGGTGTTTGGTGAAGGCGGGCCAGGGAACTGGGACTCTACTCTCTCCTGTACTGGGATCACTGGACAGGACAGTGAAATATTACACCAGTTTAAGAAAGTTCAGACCAGTTTACATAATTTCAGACCTGTGTTAACCAGTTCAGACCAGTCCATGTAAACTACTTCAGACTACTTCCAACCAGTTCAGACTACTTCAATCCATTTCAGACTACTTCAAACCAGTTTAGACTACTTCAAACTAGTTCAGACTACTTCAATCCATTTCAGACTACTTCAAACAAGTTCAGACTACTTCAAACTAGTTCAGACTACTTCAAACCAGTTCAGGCTACTTCAAACTAGTTCAGACTACTTCAAACCAGTTCAGGCTACTTCAAACTAGTTCAGACTACTTCAAACTAGTTCAGACTACTTCAATCCATTTCAGACTACTTCAAACTAGTTCAGGCTAATTCAAACCAGTTCAGACTACTTCAATCCATTTCAGACTACTTCAAACCAGTTCAGACTACTTCAAACTAGTTCAGACTACTTCAAACAAGTTCAGACTACTTCAAACTAGTTCAGACTACTTCAAACCAGTTCAGGCTACTTCAAACTAGTTCAGACTACTTCAAACCAGTTCAGACTACTTCAAACTAGTTCAGGCTACTTCAAACTAGTTCAGACTACTTCAAACCAGTTGTTCAGACTACTTCAAACCAGTTCAGACTACTTCAAACCAGTTCAGACTACTTCAAACTAGTTCAGACTACTTAAAACCGGTTCAGACTACTTCAAACTAGTTCAGGCTACTTCAAACCAGTTCAGACTACTTCAAACCAGTTCAGACTACTTCAAACTAGTTCAGACTACTTCAAACCAGTTCAGACTACTTCAAACTAGTTCAGGCTACTTCAAACTAGTTCAGACTACTTCAATCCATTTCAGACTACTTCAAACTAGTTCAGGCTACTTAAAACTAGTTCAGGCTACTTCAAACCAGTTCAGACTACTTCAAACCAGTTAAGTCTACGTCAAACCAGTTCAGACCACTTCAAACCAGTTAAGACTACGTCAAACCAGTTCAGACCACTTCAATCAATTTCAGACTACTTCAAACTAGTTGAGAGTACTTCAATCCATTTCAGACTACTTCAAACTAGTTCAGGCTACTTCAATCCATTTCAGACTACTTCAAACCAGTTCAGACTACTTCAAACCAGTTCAGACTAATTCAAACCAGTTCAGGCTGCTTCAAACTAGTTCAGACTACTTCAAACCAGTTCAGACTACTTCAAACTAGTTCAGGCTACTTCAAACTAGTTCAGACTACGTCAAACCAGTTCAGACCACTTCAAACCAGTTAAGACTACGTCAAACCAGTTCAGACCACTTCAATCCATTTCAGACTACTTCAAACTAGTTCAGGCTACTTCAATCCATTTCAGACTACTTCAAACTAGTTCAGACTACTTCAAACCAGTTCAGGATACTTCAAACCAGTTCAGACTACTTCAAACTAGTTCAGACTAATTCAAACTAGTTCAGACTACTTAAAACCAGTTCAGACTACTTCAAACTAGTTCAGGCTACTTCAAACCAGTTCAGACTACTTCAAACTAGTTCAGACTACTTCAAACCAGTTCAGGCTACTTCAAACTAGTTCAGACTACTTCAAACCAGTTCAGACTACTTCAAACTAGTTCAGGCTACTTCAAACTAGTTCAGACTACTTCAAACCAGTTCAGACTACTTCAAACCAGTTCAGGCTACTTCAAACCAGTTCAGACTACTTCAAACCAGTTCAGGCTACTTCAAACCAGTTCAGACTACTTCAAACTAGTTCAGACCACTTCAAACTAGTTAAGACTACGTCAAACCAGTTCAGACCACTTCAAACTAGTTAAGACTACGTCAAACTAGTTCAGAGACTATTTTAGACATGTTTTAATAACTATACTGACCAGTGGTCTAGTTTTCAGTAAATACCAATAGAGACCAGTATTTCTTGTCTGGCCTGTGAGAAACCACGATCAGAGGCAGACCTAGTCGTGGTGTGTTGACATGTATGTTTGCAGTGCATGCTGGGATTTTACCCAGTCCTTGCAAAGTTGGTCCAGTACGCGATCATGTACCCGGACAAGTCCCGGTGTCGGGGGAAGTAGACCAGCGGGGTGGCAAAGGGTTTACCAAACAGGTACTGCAGGTCCTCGGCGTGCTCCGCTTCCACCCAGCGAGGGAATCCTGGGATACGCGTCTTCATGTTGAACAGGTAGGAGTAGGTACGGGCTCCCCTGAGGGACAAACAGAACGGACACTTCTGGTCATCTTTAACACCAAACTCAAGAACTGAAACCAGCAACAAGACCACATATTTCTGTAGATGCTAATGTTAACAATTTAGGAGCTACGACCTCAAAAGCACAGTCTCCTTTAGTCCTGAACGTGGAGCAATTAAGAACCACCAGACCTGATCAGAGGACCTCAGAGACCCGATGAACCTGATCAGAGGAGCTCAGAGACCCGATGAACCTGATCAGAGGACCTCAGAGACCCGATGAACCTGATCAGAGGACCTAAGAGACCTGATGAACCTGATCAGAGGACCTAAGAGACCTGATGAACCTGATCAGAGGACCTCAGAGACCTGGTGAACCTGATCAGAGGACCTCAGAGACCTGATGAACCTGATCAAAGGACCTCAGAGACTAGATGAACCTGATAAAAGGACCTCAGAGACTAGATTAACCTGATCAGAGGACCTCAGAGAACTGGTGAACCTGTTACCTGGTGTTGTTGGCGTGGAGCTGGAGGGCGATCTGCGTGGGAACCAGGAACAGGAAGTCAGTCTCGATGTCTGCCACCGTCTTCTTCACCACCGCCGGTTCCGGCGCCGAGCCCCAGTGAGACGAGTAAACGCTGTAGGCCGAGCCAACGGCGGCGGTCCCCTTCTCTTTAGTCAGACCGGCCAGCAAACCCCTCACGTCCTCTCTGAGGACAAACAGAACCCGGTTACACGACCGCAACGGGTTCTGTCTCCGTTTAGTCTCTTTAACATCACGACTTCATTAAGTCGATGTCTGAAGAGAACAAACTACAAACTGAGTCTGAGTGATGTACCACTGACTATTCTGTTATTATCCCTGTAAACTGAATCTGTTATGTTCTTTTGTTTAATAAAAGAAAACAAAGGTCCAACACTGGGCCTGATTATAATGTAGAGTTTAGATGGAATCAATAAATGTAAATACTGTAAAGACGACTTGACTCCAGGAAGTGACTAAAAATATTCTCTTCTTTACTACATTTCATAAAGTTTTATGTAGTTTCTTCTTTACTCACACGGTGGTGTTGCCATTTTTCTTGTTGATAGAAGGAACGTCGACTCCGGCAAACATGTGTCCGTCCA